ATCGCAATAATATTAATTACTATATCATAAAATGGCAAAGTCCCTCTCTTACGTTATTTTCCTAGTGCTGGCATGTCTTCTCGGTAAGTCTTACATGTATAGCATGATATTATAGATCCCGGTAGCAACCCCTGCAACCTCTGATTGCAAGAGATTAACGAGACCAACCTCTCTTTGTCTTCCCAACTCGCAGCCACCTCTGTAGCAGTCCCACTCAAGGACATTGCGACGACCACCATGAACATTGAGAGCGAGCTCTCTGCATCTTCTGATCATTTTGTTGTCACCGTTAATCGAGTCGACGACCTTTTCGATGATGACGACTCATTTCTGGGCGAACGTGTCATAGGTGTCATGATGCATTTCGATATACAAGACGACAAACTTCTCGTAAACAACGTTCCCGTACCGCTCAACACGACGAGTTTGGAAATAATTCAGGCTGAAATCTCAACTGGTGACAAGAAAATCGAGGATATCGAAAAGTCCTTCGACATTGGACTCCTTACTGTCGAAGTCACGACCGTTGTTCAGCCTTTGCCCAACCCTGCATCGAATGTTGATGCGCAACGCATTACAATTAACGCCAGAATCATTGAAGTCGATGGATCTGATGTCATTCAGACCGAGGTCGTCGAAAAGATAATGGAGGTCAAGATACACAATGTCTTGGATGATGACAACGAAGGTACTGAAGTTGTGTCCGTTGAAGAGGGAGAGGTCACTGTTTCTCAAATCGGCACCCTTGAGAGTTCAGCAAGTAAGTCGTTGTAATCTTTCTAGCAAACAAGCATGATATATGCGTGCATACATACATACTATACATGCGTACAATATTATTCAAATATAACTAATCACAAATCTTGAACATGTTTTAGCCGACCGTCAACGAATCGACTGTCCCTTCAAGAACAAGGCCAGCCGTATCCGCCAGTGGTGGCGATCCACCTCTCGTTTTACACGCATCGTCATAACTTCGATGGGACTCACTACAGCCTTTGGGATTATATTTATCGGTATTCCAACATTAATTAAATATTGCCGCTCTAAAAGCCGATACGAGATTGTCTCGTCGGACTCGTACGACGAAGAAACCACCCAAGTAATATACATAGCAGATGCAGAAAAGCATGACTATCCTGAATGTACAGCGAATAGTGAGGCAAAATGATGCGACGGTTTCCTTAATTATACACACATTACCGTACAATTGTAATTAATTCAACTTCTTCACTCATTGGCTGGCATCTTAAGCTAAACACAAAAAAAAGGACTTTTTCAATCGGCTTTACAAACGAACCAAAGACATTAGCGACCCAAACACGGCAGCTTATAATTGCTCAAGTTTTGGTGGTGGCAAGCAATTCACCAACACTTTGTTGGAAATATAGCTTATTGTAAAGATTGGTGATGTCCATTCTCACATGTAGTACTGTACATTCGTTTTGAATTCAAATAAATCTCTCTTCCTTCATATGTAATTTAACTTAAAAACTTGATTCGCGAAACCCGTTTTCCCTTGACACTATTGACAAAGACCAAAGATAAAGCGTCAATTGACACAAACTGTTCCGATGTCTTGACATTCTAGTAAAAACCAGTCCAGTGATCCTTCACTCTTTACGAGATTTCGTCAATCTAACAAGGCATGAATTTTGGCCGACCACGATTCAAAACGCATCGATTGCTCGGAGAACCCGCGATTTCTGTGAATGAAATCCTTGCACTTTTGTTTGAAATCCGTCAGTTCACAGTTCAGTAACACTCACATTAAAGTCTTCGACCGGCAACTGTTTTGAACGAGTCATTGATACTTATTCGGGTCTTTGTTACTCGAGTTTTTGCTTACGACTGCTGAGGAGACCCCCCTGCATAACAAGTTTACATTCTGTTGATCGTTGCACGGGTTACAAAAATGAACCGAGATTTCTTAGTCTGTTGAATGTTGATCCACACACACACACACGCAGAAGCATTCAACGCTGAAACAGCAAAATTTGATAATGACATTACGCAGGAATAGGGACCGAATGACATTCTAAATGCCAATAGTGTCACATGACGTTGATTTTGCTGCCTGTCTTTTACATCGAATGCATATGATTACATGCATGGAGCGGTGAATTAGTCATTTCGATGTTTGATTGTCGCTAACTAAAGGATGCATTAACGAGCAGTAGGCATACGCCGTTTATTTCAAATGTGATGCTGTTCTCGTGTTTGTAAAGGAGCAATTATTCAAAGAAAACTTTTTTTTTTTTTGCTATAGTCGGGTATCTGGACAAGAATTGCAACAAGAATGTTCCTTGTGCTACTAGCCCAGCTTGTCACGAACGAGTATGAGTTTAATTATATAAAGGCATGTAAGGGAGCCGTCTTTGATACGGGTGCGTGAGCAAGACCTACGTTTAGAGCTATTTTTCAGAAACCATTCTCCAGATCAAATTGGAACCAAACACGTTCTCAGCGCGACCTGTTGTAACGAAAATGAAACGAGATGCAAATGGAATGCTTTACGATACCTGTTGATACGATACGAGTGAGTAGTGAGAAAAGAAAATGACGATTGATCTATTCACGATTATTGCGAATGATTTTTGAATCAATACGGGATTTCGATCGGGTGATATTGATAGTTCTTTAATAGTAATGCCTTGCAAAATTTTGCCTGTTTAGGAATATATCTACCTACTCTTATAGGATATCGACGCAGCGGATGGCGCAGGAAAAGGGTAGATATACTGTCATCAGCACGCAGGCTTCTCTTCAAAAGAATGAGTAGTGACATATTTCTCTATGGAACTAGTGGTGGCTCGACAACCAATCCCTCCAACATTTGGGAACGCATGATAGTCAAACTAGATGAGGTTAAACGCACATTCTACATTGAATTTGATCACCACGTTATCCATTTTGCTATTCCTTCGAATCCCTCCAACCTTCCTATCACCTTGAAGAAAGCCAACAGTTTCATCCTGTTCAGATGTTTGATCACGACGGCTCTAAAGGAAAAAGGCGAATATCGATCCTTTGTACAACGCACGATCTTCTGCTTCTGCAATGCTTGGTGTAAAGCGCCTGGAAGCTAAAGTTCAAAGATCTCTTGCGGGCGAAAATAAGGCTTTCAGAAGGAAACCAAACGGTTAGAAAAAGCAACACAGTTCGATTCCCATAAAATGCGTTTGCGAATATCGATTACTCTGGCCAGGCTTGAGGAAAGTCTCGCTGTTGGTGTGGAGTATATTTATTCATGCGCAGTATGTAATCAAATCATTAAGCTGCAAGGTAAAAGAATGGTTTGTTATTTAGAATAGTTATTCATGCCCCTAGAACTAAAAGTCATTTTCTTCTAGCGAACGTTGTTCTGCTCTCTCAATAAACATATTCGGCAATTCGACGACGTTTACGTCAACATTGCAATTTACTATAAGGTGAAGAAAATTTCTTTTCCAAGACATATAAACTATCGGTACGTCGATATCGCGTTCAGTGTCTAGAAAATTAAGCTAATTGAAATAATTGGTTGTAG